ATTTAAATTTAAAAATCTTCCAAAATTATTAACCTTAGGTCTTACATTAATGAAAATAGAATAAGGGTACTTTCAAATGGTGCTTATTTAAATAAAAAAAAATAAATAAAAAGAATAAATTCATATTTGAATTTTGAGTATAGATTTGTTTTTTTATAAAGGGTATCCCAACAAGAACTTTTTGATGACAAAGACAATTAAAAACAATTATGCAAATATTTTATTGGATTTTCAAGAGAAAATGTTGCTATTAAACATGAAACAAAATATCTGTCACACCGGGGCACAGGGGCTCCGTTGACAGGTGTCGAGCAAAATCGGCGGGATTTCACGAATATTACGTTCGATTTCTTCCTTCAGTTGTCTAATCGTCTCAGGATGGTTTCCATATACTCTACTTTTTAAATACTTCCAGAGGAAATAGTTTAAGGGCGTCAAATCGCAACATCTCGGCGGCCAGGTTTAGTCTCCAAATCGAGAGATGACACGACCTGGGAACTTTATTTGCAGTAACGCCATTGTTTCGCGTGCGGTGTGGCAGGTCGCGCCGTCCTGTTGAAACCACAAGTTATTTATGTCCATTCCATTTATTGCAGCCAAAGAAAGTCTCTCAGCATGCTACGGTAGCGATCACCATTTACAGTCACGAAGACACCTTCATTAATTTGAAAAAAATAAGGTCCGATGATCCCTTCTGCCCAAATGGTGCACCAAACTGTCACTTTTTGAGAATGCATTGGAAGATCGTGCACAGCATTTGGATGCTCTTCCCCCAAATTAGACAGCTCTGTTTATTCACAAAGCACAAAGCCGTTCAAATGAAAGTACGCCTCATCACTAAAAATAATTTTGTTGTGGAATCCATCGTCAACTCCGTGTTGTCCCAATATCCAATTCGCAAAGTTTCTGCGCTGTCTATGATCAGCTGGCTTCAGTTTTTGCGTCAGCTGTATTTTGTAAGGAAGAAGATGCAAATCCTTTCTCAAAATTCATTGTAATGTACTGCGACTGATTTATTTCTTGGCCGCGATGTTGGATGGAGGTGTTCGAATGTTCGTTAACACTGGCTCTCACGGTGGCGATGTCTTAAGCAGACCTTCCAGGACGACGATGTCTAACACATGTCTCGTCTTTCAATGTAAATGTCCGCTCAAATTTTTTGATCAAATTTTCAATAGTGGGCCGCGACGGACGATTATGTACACCAAAATGTTCACGTAACCTGCGCATTGCATTGAAAAATTTTCTCAATTTCTGTAATGGGGCATTACAGTTAATAAACGTTCTTCAAGAGTGTAATGCGGCATTTTCGTTAATGTCAATGTTTTGGCAGAACACGTGCCTATTATGCCCCACTTGATGTTTGACAGATGGAAATGGCACGCGATTCAAAATTCAAGTTCTTATTAGGACACCCTTTATATAGTTAAATTGCACAACTAAAGCGCTTTTAGTTCCCAAAATAAATTTATTAAATGGTGAAAATCTACTAAACTCTTCAAAGCAGTTTGTTACAGATATCCGAGGGAATTTCCCCGAATATGAAAATGAAGCTAAGACTATGACCAACGATTGTTTTTTTACTGATAAAAACGCAAATACTGCAAACTGATGCGTCATCATCAAATTAAGTAAATATGAAGGGTCGCCAAGAATTCATTACACAAACGGTTTACAGTTAGTGAGATATGCACAGGAAGCAGTCATTTTGCAAACCTGCTATATCGTCCGCAGGTTTTTAAACGGTACCTAAGTAGGACAAACTGAATTGTTTCCCTGCTAGGTTGTCCGAGCCCATACACATTGTATAGCGAAAATGTATACCAGCATGTGCTAAGAACACCAAAATAATAATAATAATAATAATAATAATAATAATAATAATGCGCTAGTTCAGTTTGATGTCATTTTGGTTCCACTGACATTTAATTCTAACCAAACTTTTAACAAAAACATCAATAAATTTGACATATACGTTTTTACTGTTTTTATTTTATTTCAAAATATTGTTTACAGGTCATAAAAAATAGTTTAAAGGTATGGTATTGGTAACTAAATGATTGTATATTTGATACATGCTACCTACTTACTTTAGGAATATATTTATACAAGTGAAAAAAACGATATAATTTAGGTAAACAGAACGAACAAAATGCACTCAAAAAATCTACTGTCACTTTAATTGTCAGTGGAACCATAATTACATCATCACTGAACTAGCATATACTATTAATAATAATAATAATAATAATAATAAGTCTACCGAATACCTTAAGCGCCATAAATTAACGGCCAAAGTAGTTCATCAGCATCTGGCAATTATGTGCAATTTTCAAGAGAAAGCTGAGCAATATTTTAAGTATAAATAATAAAGAAATAAATAAATTATTTTTATTGAGCAACTATAAATACATAAGTGTTTTAAAAGGAATGAATTCGGCTAAGCTTCTTTCAATTCATCCTCATAATATCGAAAAAAAAAAAAATAATTATTTTAAATTTTAAATTTTAAATTAAATCATTATCTTGAAATAAGAACTTGCCTAATAGTCTTAACAAAATTATTAAAATTCAAATTTAATTAATTAAGTTCTGAATTTAATAGTATACGAGGTATGACAATTAAATTTTAAGACTGGCCCTCGTACTAGCAGGTTTGAAATCTCCCAGCCTCGTGCGGTGATGGGACATTGACCTTGATATGTGCTGTATTACCACGCGCAATCTTGTCGCCTTGCCTCTTTTAGTTTGGCTTCAGCAGTGGTTGGAAGCGGATCGTGCTTAGCTCACTTGCCGGAATTATGACAAACGAAAAAAATCGAGCAACGAATTAACTTAAAGTTTTTGATAAAACTCAAAAAAACGGCCACTGAATGCTTTCGAATGCTAAAAGAGGTCTACGGAGAGGTGTGTGTGTCTCGTGCAATGATTTGTATGTGGCATAAAAGGTTTTCTGAGGGTCAGGAAGAAGTTAAAGATGATGAACGAGAAGGGCGCCCCAGCACATCCAAAACAGACGAAAATATTACAAAAATTAGTGAAATTATTAGAAAGGACAAACAGTCAACCAACATTATTATTTAGAAGTATTGAAGAAACTAAGGGAACGTGTAAGGAAAAAACGTCCAGATTTATGGAAGAAAACGCGTGGCTGCTTCACCAGGATAATGCACCGGCTCACAAAGCCATTTCCATTAAGCAGTTTTTAGCTGATAAGAAGATCCCTGTCCTTAACCACCCACCATATTCACCAGACTTGGCCCCTTGCGACTTCTTCTTGTTTCCGAAAGTAAAAGAATCGTTAAAAGGAACCCGTTTTGACACATTAGAAGAGGTCAAGGAAAAAACGGCAAGACTTCTCAACAGCCTCTCTTCCGATGATTTCCAAAATTGCTTTCAACAGTGGAAAAAACGTGTGCAACGCTGTGTCGATAGGGAAGGGGAGTACATTGAAGGGGAGCACCATTAAGTTGTATTATTTTTTAAATAAAGTAGATTTTTTACAACAGTCTTATAATTTTATTGTCATACCTCGTATAACTAAAACAACCTTGGAATTTTGAAGTTCTATGCACTGGGGTTGTAAAAGTGTTGACTCTTAAATTTACTTTGTGTAGAGTTGATCTTCTTCAGGGCCGGCCCTAGACATTTTGGCACTCTGGGCAAAACCTTAATTTTGCGCCCCTTCCCCGTTTTTTTTAAGTAAATCTCACGCGACCATATCAGAAAGTCAAGAAAACATTAAAAAAAAAATTTAAAAAAACGTTTTATTAAAAACTCAATCATCAAATAACAAGATCTAGTAATGCTAACTAAACTAATATCCAATATTATAAATAAATTCTAACTAACCAAAGTAATTAAAATGCCCTTTTTCTAACTTTTCTTTCGGCAAACTCACGAACTAGTGATTTCAAGTCTAATTTGTCACTAATTTGGTGTTCTATCAATCCATTGCATCGTTTTAAGATATTTTTTTTATTATTTTTGCTGTACAAAGCATCGTGAATTGGACCAATTTGAAACCGCAGAGCTTTTAAAGAGTCGACCCCACTTTCCCATCGCATATCACTCAATGGTTTTGGGGTGTAAGTATCAATATATTTCAGTAATATTCCCCAACGAAAAGAAGAGGAAGAAAAAAATGTATATAACTTTTGAACAATATTAAAGAAGTTGGCTGCCTCAAACGAGGATTTTTCCATATCCTTTACAACCAAATTTAGCGAAAGGCTGCTGCATGGAACATAAAATGCTCTGGGGTATATATTTCTGATTCTTGTTTGTAATCCCGATTTTTCTCCTCTCATATTGGAACCATTGTCATACCCTTGACCACGCATGTTTTCTACTTTAAGCCTATTTTTCTCTGGCTCTTCTAGTAAAACCTCCGACAATTCCTTAGCTGTTGATATCTCAATGGATAGAAAACCCAAAAAATGTTCGTTGATATTAACTTGAACTTCAGACTCTAATTCCTGTATGGAGACAAATTTTATTACAAATTTTATCTGTTCTACTTTACTTGCATCGGGAGTACAGTCAAGAATCACGGAATAATACTTGGCCTTTTGAACTTGCACAATGATGTGGTTCTTTATGTTGTCATGCAATAATTCAATTTTTTCATTTTGTATCGTTTTCGCTAGATATGTAACTTTGATTTCTTCTTTATTGAGGACTCTGCGAACGTATTCCTCCATTTTTGGATCAAACTCAGCGAATAACTGAATTAACTTCAAAAAGTTTCCATTATTGTGTTCATACAGTTTATCGCTTTTTCTTTGAAAAGCTAGAGAGCTCTCACCTAGTATTTTAACGACTGATATAATGCGTAAAATAAATAAAAAATCTTCAAATTAGCATAAACTTGAGTTAGTCCTGAAGATTAAATAAATCAAATATTGTAAGTACCTGTTATATATTCAAGTGTGCTTTCAGTTTGCTATATAAATTCACCAAAATGTAAAATATGTCACAGTTGACTTAGTTCAATAAAAATGTTGTGTTTCACCATATTTCTCGTTATAACTGCGATAGTAGCTACAACTGCATCTCCTTTGTATAATGATACAAGGGTGGGAGGTGGTTGTACAATTACTTCTTACTCACAAGTTAGTAACGTAGTAAAAAGTTGTACAAACATAATTGTCAACGGACTTGCCGTGCCACCTGGAAAAACTTTGCAACTCGACCTAAAATCTGGATCTACTTTAACTTTCCAAGGTACTACATCTTTTGGTTATGGTGTAAAATGGGCAGGGCCACTAATAATTATTACTGGAAATAGGATTACTGTGAATGGCGCTTCTGGTTCAAAATTAGATGGTCAAGGACCTCATTACTGGGATGGCAAAGGTGACGCAAATCCAGGAAAACCAAAATTCTTTAAAATTAAAGCAACTGGAGGATCAACTTTCAACAATATTCACTTATTGAATTGTCCTCATCAATGTGTATCTATCCAAAACTCCAACCACCTCACTTTATCAGGATGGAATGTAGATGTTTCCGCTGGTGACAGAAATAAATTAGGACACAATACCGATGGATTTGACCTTTCGAATTCAGACACAGTAACAATAAAAAACTCTGTTGTTAAGAACCAAGATGATTGTGTCGCTGTTAATTCTGGTAAAAATTTACACTTTTCAAACTTGCAATGTTCCGGTGGACACGGTTTAAGCTTGTCTATTGGAATGAGTAAAACTGATGCTTCTAAAAACCAGGTATCCAATGTAACTTTCAGTGATTGTACTGTTACAAATTCCCGCAATGGTATTCATGTTAAAACGCATTCAGATGCTGGTCACGGATCTGTTAATGATATTACCTATAGTAACATACACTTATCTGGAATCACCAACTACGGAATAAATGTACAACAAGATTACAAAGGAGGTAAATCAACTGGAAATCCAACTAATAATATACCAATTAAAGGATTGAAAATGAGTAAGGTAACTGGAACTATGAGCGGATCTAACTCAGTAGCAGTTTATGTAATGTGTGGATCTAGTGGATGTTTCAACTTCAATTGGTCTGGGGTCTCGATTTCTGGTGCAAAAAAAGGAAGTACGTGTAAAAATTACAAACCTTCAGGAATAAGTTGTAAACAAATATAAATAAATGCATATATATTTATTGAATTTTTAATTTATTTTTTCACAATTGAGAAAAACGGCTCTTACTCTTTAATTTTTTTTCAAGATTCACGTCATAGTGATTGTGTAAAATGTGTAGTAAGTCATCACTTGTAAGTCTGTATCACTTGGGACTTCTTAGATAAGTAATTACGTGGATTATAAGATTTTCAAATTAAATTTATAGTAAACTAGCTAACCCGATCCCGCTTCGCTGGAATTTCTCAAATCTCAATTATTAAAAGTGAATAACAGTTTTTGTTACTCGTGAGAAACTTTTTTATGCGATACTTGAAAAAAAAATTATTAATTTAATTTTTATTCGTTTTCATTAGTTTTATTAATTTTTAATAATTTTTATTAATTTTCAATAATTTTTATTAATTTTTATTGATTTTTATTGATTTTTATTGATTTTTAATATTTTTTATTATTTTTTATTAATTTTTATTATTTTTTATTATTTTTTATTATTTTTTAATATTTTTTAATATTTTTTTATTATTTTTTATTAATTTTTATTATTTTTATTAATTTTTATTAATTTTATTTAGTTTCATTTATTATTTATATTTAATTTTATTTATTATTTATATTTATTTTTTATTTATTTTTAATTTTTATTTGTTTATTTTTATTTATTTATTCCCCCCCTCATTAAAATGTGAAAATCCAAAAACCTTTAAATACGTCATTATATGAGTAGCTACAATTCCAACTTTCATGTTCCCACCTTTAAAAAATCGATACTTTCATCCCTCTTCCCCCTTTCCCCTTCTCCCAATTTTTTCACTTTCCCACTTTCCCCCTTTCCCTATTTCCTCTATTTCCCCCTTTCTCCAAACTTTTGCATTTATGTAGTAGTAGGGTTTTTACATGGTATAAAAAATAAAGGGTTTTTATGATACTTCTCATGCCCCCCTCCTTTAAATGCGAAAATCCAAAAACCTTGAAATACGTCATTATTTACATTTATGAGTAGCTGCAATTCCAATTTTCAAGTTCCTATATTTAAAAAGTCTTCACCTTACACCGTCATCTATTAGGAATTCATAGAACTAACCAATAAATACAAAATATTTAGGCATTCCATACAAATGAAACGCGGTGCTAAGGTTTGGTATGTTTAAATAGTTGCGACATACAATGTAGTCTATCTGCATTATATGAAATCATAAATAATGGATGAAATTTAAATATTTTATTTTTTTTTTGAAAGAGTAAAACCAAATTTGGTAGATTTTCACACTTTTATTTTAGAAATAAAAATTTAAAAAAAAAACTAACATGACATATGTTTCGAAGTACAACTTCTTTTTCAAATGTGACTATTTACAATTCGGTATCCAATATATATACGAAATAATTTAACAAAACAAAGTACTTAAGAAAACATCAATAACATTACAAAATAAACTAACTATTTAAAGTAAATAAGGGTACTTAGGTAATTATAATATTCATCAGATAACAATATCCGTTCAGTAGTTTCGGAGTTTCGCGAACATACATCGTGACACGAAATTTATATATAAAGATAATTATATATAAAGATAATTATATATAAAGATAATTACTTGAAACAATATTGTATGGTGCAAATAAAAATAAGTAATTAAGTCATTGACTTTTGTGAAAAATACTACTTGTTAATTTGTATTTTGTAACGAGCGTTCTAACATATATTTCTTTTATTCGTGACGTCATAAATGATTTTTTATTATATTTTGACATGGCTGATTTTTGCACCAAACGATCGGCAATCGTTAAAAATATATATTCACGTATAAAACGCGTTTTGGCTAAAACAAAATGGTTTGTGTATTAGTGTTTTTAATTAATGTGCCACTGACTTATGCAGTGGTGGATGGGCCGACCGGAAAACCGGGAGATTGAACGGTGTGTCGCACAGTGTTACAAACACAGAATCTAGCTGATAAATTTTTTTAAATATGTTAGTTTTATAATGAATAACGTAAATATATAAAAGCACAAACAAAAATAAATAGTAATATTTATAAAGTTATTATTAATCATTATTTGAGTCTTCGGTAGTCGAACCATCACAATCACTTTCCTCAGATTCGGCCAATGAAGATTTACACAAAACTAAACTAAAACTAAAACTAAATCAGTTATAATTTCAGGTAAATCAGTTGTAATTTCCGAATTGTTCGTTATATTTTGAAGATTATCTGTTAGGTTTTGCGAATTATCAATCAAAATTTGCTAATCATCTGTTAAAATTAGCGAACCATCTGTTAAAATTAGCGAATCGTCTGTTAAAATTTGCGAATCGTCTTTGAAAACTGGCGAATTATCAGTTAAATTATTTTCACCAATTTCATCATTAATCTTTGCTAAATTTTCGAACAGAGCTACTGTTGTCATCCATAACTGCGGCCTCTTTCACTATTTTTCTTTAATTTCCTCTTTTAAAGTCGTTTCGGATTTACCTTGTAAAGACCCTGTAGTTCGTCTACCTAGAGGCCACAACGGCGCCGACTTTAAATTTGCCCGATTTCTTTAAATCGACTTCGTTATTGAAAGTCTGTTTCATTATATCTAGGAGAACGTTCTTATCAGACAACGAATCCTCAGTTACATTCGTAGTTTCAATAATTGCATTACTGTATACATATATTTGAATTAGAATCTATTAATCCTAATCTATCTATTGGTCCATTGGAGGCAGTGCTAATACTAGGTTTAATAACTTTATGATCACATTTAGTAGCTTTATTACTTTCAGTACCATACAATGAAGCTATATCAGAAAAGCTGCTATCTGATTCATAACCTGATAATTTTGAACCAGAATCTGAACAAAGCCGTCTTCTTTTCCTAGATTCAAAATCTAAACCCTCTAGAAGACCCATATCCTTAAGTTTTCTTTGTTTGCCGTTTTTTTACATTCTTGCAGGCGAGTCAGATCTGGTGCTGTAAGGGCTAGATCTTCTGCTGAGACCGTCTTGCTTACCTTTGCGCTTAGCCCTAGGGCTTATACTTATGCTCCATTTTTATTCATGAGACCCACTTCCCGTCGCTGTATATAAATATACAGCTCTCTATTTACATAATTATAATTCATAATTGATTAAATTTTTATTAGCCAATGTAAAAATGTCTTTTATTGTATGTAGGATTTAACTTAATACTACACAGAACTAAAAATAAAATGTCACTTTCACCGTGTAATTAAATAACCACAAGTAGTTCAAGCCAACATATCACAAAAGGTCCTGTAAGGGCAGCGCCATATTCGCGAATCAAATTAAGTGATACGCCCTTTGGAGGAAATTTGTAAAAGGTCCCTATAAGTAGGATATCGTTCAGTGTTGCCAGAAGTAGCACAATTTCGCTATGTCGTCGGATTTTAGCTCTTAAGGAAGTGGATAAGACCTTCTATTTAAGAATCAAAATTTGTGTCTAGTTATATGTAATATATTTATTTAAGGATTTTTTTTTATAAAACCAATATATTATGTTGATTTTTTTTAAATTTTTTGTTATACTTTACCGTTGAAATCATAACCTCAACAATTAATGTTCTTGTAAAAATTGTTATTTTCTCATTTTATTAGTGATTACTGATTACTGTTTACAGTGCTAATTCTAGATTATGTTAACCATTATTTGCACTTAAAATTTAAAGCAATTTTATATATTTGATCGAAAGTGCAGTTGGTTCCTTATTGCAAATTTTATGTGCTCAAAAGTGAAGGTTGGTTTCTTATTGCAATATTACATTTTTACAGGGTTTACAGATTGTTGGGAACATAAGCCCACAAATTTCTACTAAAAGCACTGGTAAACTAGAGACCGAAGCCAACACAGTAAGTGTATCTTTCTTAACTAGTATATAGTTAAGTTATGTGCAAACAAAGTCAGTAGCGCCCCCCATTTTTTACTTGATGAAATGTATGGATACTAAATACTGCAACTTAGTAGAAGGGGGTTTTTGTTCTGTCAGTTTGCTAATAATTCAATATCAGTGAAGGTATACTTAGGACTGTTAACTCTTAGTTGTTTTATGTTTTTACAGGGCTTAGAAGAGTGCGTCCCAAATAGTAGTACAGATAATGAACACCGAAGTTCCGAATTAAAGAAACCTTTTGAAAACTTTAACGATATTAAAAAGTTAAATCACAATTTTGAAGTTAATGCTACTGAATGCTTTGAAGACTCCGACGATGATTCTATCAAGGACAAGGATTATCAGCCAAACTCTTCTGATGAACTCTCTGATGAATCCTCTAAGAATTATCAACAAAAAGTGTCATCAGTAGAAAATACAGAGGAAAAAACAAACCACAGCATCGCTGCAGTCGCAGAATATAAGGGACGCCCAAAAAAGGAAGGAAAAGAAAGTGTGAGGGACAAGACCGGACAACGATGAAGAGACTCACAAACAGCAATAAAGAATATTATTCAGCTAGAGGAAAACTTGTTCAGCCAAAACAATTTATTGATTACAAATGCTCCTGTGCCACGAAATGCGACCAAAAGGTATCTGTTGATAAGAGAAAGGATTTTTTCGACCGTTCAAACAACCTACTTATCGACATGCGTTAGGGAGGAAAGTGTAAAAAGGAAAAGTACGGCTGCCAGAAAAGCGACAGTTTTCCAGACAGTACTTTATTAAAAAGCATCTGGTTTGTAGGGATATGTTTGTTAAAACGCTACAGATATCAACTACTTAAACGTGCTAACACATCACTCTGTAAAGTTAGACAGTTATCAACACTTGATCGCCAAGGTATTGCTGGTGGTCACAACAAAATTACTGATGAGCAAAGAAGCGCGATTATCAATCATATTAATAAATTTCCCCGTTATAAATCTCACTACTGTAGAGCAAGGAAAAACAAACAGGAATACTTAGCAGAAGGAACATCACTTACGATTATGTATAAACTTTACAAAGATGAAAATGCAAATACACTCAGCTTCTCCTCCTATAAGAAAATTTTTTAAATGACTTCAATTTAAAAATGAAGCAACCGAAGAAGGACAGCTGTAACAAGTGTGATACTTTCGCTATAAAGATTAAAAACTTACCAGAAGGAGAGGAGAAAGATAGGATCAGCTTAGAACATAGCATGCATTTGACAGAAGCAGAGAAAGCCAGAGACAAAATGAACAGTGATTAAGAAAGCAACCGAAAGTAATGAAATAGAAACATTGACTTTTGATATGGAGAAGACACTCCCACTACCACGTCTTAATTCAAACATTATATTTTATAAAAGGCATTTATGGCTCTAAAACTGCGGGATATATGCAGGAAAAGAAGCAAAATCTACTTTCAACTTGTGGCTTGAAGGACAGACGGGTCGCGGTGCCCAAGAGGTGGGCTCTTGTTTGCTGCTATATATTGCAAAATATGTCTCAAAAACCGGTAAAAAACTAATATTATGGAGTGACTCCTGTGGGGGACAAAATCGAAACATTAAAATGGTCCTTCTGCTGAAATATGCTCTTGAATTATCCACACACCTCGAAAGTATAGAGTTACGGTTTTTACAAAAATCCTGTAGAAGGAAGCACTCCATTGAGGTAGTATCCATGAAAAAGGAAGCCTTTGTTAGTATCCTGAAGCTTGAAAAAGAAATATGTAATAGAAGAAAATCCCGCGGGGAAGAAAAGATAAATTGGTTAAAGATTAAAGAAATAAAAATTTTAAAAGAAAAACCCTATAGTATATTTATCAAAACGACCTACGAAGACACCAACACCGATTATAAAGAAATTGATATTAAAAAGGGAAGGGGTAAACCACAAAAAACACCATTCTCTCAGCATTATCTGCAACCTCTTTGGCCCAATGGAAAGCCTGTAGCGGAAGCTAAACTGAAGGATATCGAGAGCTATCTGCACCTAATTCCTCTGGCCGACCATGCCTTTTATGTCTATCTTATTATTGATAATACAATAGAGGAGGACCTACAGGGATACAATGGGGAGCTAGATTTCGAGATTGAAGAAGAAAAAGTAATACTGCAACAGGGAACCACGTGTTTTTTTCTTATTGTAATGAAAAATGTTAGTTAATTTTTGTGATTCTTGACTTACTAGAGTTGTGAGAAAATAAAATAATAAAAATTAATATTTTTTTTTTCTTTTCAAAGGATTATAATTTAAGGTGATCAGAAAAATCTTATTTTCAATTTTCTTCAGAAACACATTTTTGTTAGTTGGTTTCTTGTTGCATAAAGGGGTCCAATTACAATTCGAGTTTTTTCTTACTTTTAGCTTTAAATTTGTTTATTTCTTATAGTATGTGACAATGTTTATATTAAAAATGAAATCTGCGATAAAGCCTCCAGCAAATTGCAATTTATATGATGTAAATATCAAAATCAAAACTGAAGTATTAAGTTGTAAAATTTTGTTTCTTACGATAAATGGATATCTAAAAATTCACAATACTGAAATTTTGCAACACTTTGTTTAGAATCAAACTGTAATTTGATTTGTGACAGTTTTATTACCTTTTACATGTATACAAAGTACTACACAATTTACTTCATAACATAAGAATAAGGATAGTAAGATTTTAAATAACTTCATCAATAATAAACGTTTGGTACCGGAAATGTCCTTTAAACCACATAACATGTCCTGGGTTTAGTAAATACATATTTCTAGATGTTCTTGTAGCAACCAAAAGAGGAATATTTTCAACAAATTAAGTCATACACATGATAAATATTATATTTATGATAAAAGCACGAAAACTAAACTTAAATTAACACTAAATGAAACTCAAAAACACTATTAAAATGAGAATATTATCTAAAACCAGTTAAAAAATCACAAATATAAAATCTGTCCAAAACAAATACATGTAAATAAACAAACATCTTACTTATAGGTGACAAATGACAGGCTGGCACGCGAAAATTTATTTGAATAGCGAATAGCCTTGAAACTCGGAATTTAAGTGGTGTTGCCAGCTCAATATTAAATTTGTATGTGAATAACTTATTAAACAATAATACCGTATTGGTATATTTTTAAGAATATATTTACACATAAATGTTATTAGTTGATTAAATAAATGTTTAAAAGTTATTTTGTGGCGATATTTCGTAGATATAAACTGTTTAAATCATATAATTTAAAAATAAATATATTTTATATTCTTTTGTGTTAAGTATGTCTAATATACTTGGCAACACTACAGATACAAGTCATGTATTAGATTTAATTAGGACTATGGGCCATAAGGCCTCCCCCACCTCGACCTTTTCAGATCTATTGTGAATATCCTTTAATCATTGTTTAGAGTACCTTGTCTAATTCGGTCTTTTGTAGTACACTCCATAGACTGGGAAGTAGTTCTCCGGTATAGCTAGTTGCCCTTGGTTTTTCTTCTCAAAGTGTAAGGAATCTCAGTCTTACTAGACCTTCGCAGTAGCACAATACGTGTTCTGCCGTTTCCTCTTCTTCTTGACAGAATCGGCACAAAGCCTCTTCTGTCAGACCGATATTGAACATATGTTTGTTAAGCCTACAATGCCCTGTTAATAGACCTACTAGTATTCTAGTATTTTTCCTATTAAGGCTTAGTAGATGCTCGGTGAGTTTAGACGATGGTCCTTTTAAGAACTTTTTGGCCTGTCTCTGTCCTGGTGAGTTTTTCCACCACTCCTGAGATTTTTTAAACATCCACTGCTTTGTGCATGTTCTGCATACTGCGCATGCTTCTAGACACACTATTTTGCGATGTCAGGCGCAGAGACGCGTTTTTATGCACAGTAGGTTTCAATTTCTGCTTAAATGTTTTATTTATCTTCTATATTATTTCTATGAATTATTCCATCTAACCACAGTTAGTTTTCAAGTATTTACAAGCATATTTACTGGTTTACGTGATCGTGATAAAGTATTACGCACTCATGGAAATAAGCATACGCCGCGATTCGCGGCTTCTTATCTAATATTTTTTTTGTTTTTGAGAATACACTTCATCATTGATTTAGATCTCTTTAAAAATTTATTTAGGTTACGTGTGATCTTGAGTGCCATTTGAAAGATAAATTTTTTGTAATATACAATACAATAGAATACACAGTTGTTTTTATCATGATAATTTTGTCAAATAGTAAACAATTAGAATTATTGACGTAATCACTTAGTTTAAGTACCTTATATTTTTTAAGATAATAAGCCTATACAATAAAATTAGAATCACTAGAACCAATTCTATTTTTAATTATTTTAATTAATTCTAAGTAATCAGTATTTATGATTCGTATAATCGAATTAAATTACCGGTTTTGAGCTTACATTAAATTGTAATTAGATGAAACAAAATGGATTCTATGTATTTTGAGGTGATCTTTTCGAAAAAAGGCAAAACAAAATGTAGCAGTTTTTCAAAAGTGCCGAAATTTTAGATTTCGTCAATTTTTCAGTTTTGCGCATGCGCATGTCGCAAATAAATCATTATTTTTAAAACGCAGTTTACGACAATTAAAAGCTTAGAAAAATGTTAATTTTTATGTCTCCTAAGAAATTTTGATCGGATGCACCGTTCTCGCGGTATGGACGATTGAAGTTTGTTAAGTATTTTGAGGCGGCGAAGGTCGAAAAATTGAATTTGTTAAATGTTCAAACACTAAATTCTTCATAACTTTGGTAAAAATTAAGATATTTGAAGAAACAAAAATTCGTTTTGAACTTAAGGGATGTGACTATTGATTCCCAGAAGGGGGCAAGAGAAATCCCAAAATTGGGCATATGGCGGAAGGGCAAATTTCATTGTTTGCCTATAACGGCCAAACTATTTAAATTTTTTAATGCCACTTACAGAGCTTACTCTTATATATGAAATCTTAAACGTGTGTAAATTTTACCGAAATCGGATTATAATTGGCCAAGATATCAAACAATTTAACAAATTTTTTTCCCTAAAAAAAAATTTTTTTTTCGAAAGTTTGAAGTGGCACAAAAATGCCAAAAATGCACCCAATGACTCAAAACTTTTTTTTTAAATACTCTATTATGTCTAGAATACGACTACATTACGGAAAATTCCGCAAAAATATTTTATCTATTTTTTTGACCACTGTTCATTGAGTGACGACCAAAAAACACGGTTTTTGAGAAAAGTTGCCTAAAATTAACGATTTTCAGTTTTTTGGTCTGAAAATTAAGCAAACCCAAATCTCATGTCTTCTGAATGTGTATACAAAGTTTAAAGTGTGTATGTTTCTTCTAAGTTGTAGAATTCTCCCGACAAAAGTCTCATTACACGCGCTCCGCGGGATCCAAAACTCATGCATTTCTGTAATTTGATTTTTTTGTAATTTCCAGTTTTAAATTTCTTACATACCTAAATTTATTAGGTCTAAAATTTATTAAATTGTATTTTACTGACTTGTTATAAGA